AAAGAAATTCATAATTGCCAATGACTCAAGAATATAAGCTTATTCTCTTAGAACTGAGTAAGCATGAATGAAGAAGTATCTCTGCACACTCACCAGCCCCCCCCCCCAAAAGGATGAACAAGTAACTTCTTCCCTTCTCTGACAATAGGTCTCAGAGATCATTCCAATGAGACCTATTATTATGGGGCAAGTTATCTGATATCCACAGGGAAACGTACATTGCTTCTTTTACAGACAATTATAAACATACAGTTTATGGGCCTTCTACAAAGTAAGCAACCAATAAGAACCATAGATTAATTTTTATTTTATTGTTGGGAATTCATTGAGGGTACAAAGAACCAGGTTACAATGATTCCATTTGTTAGGTAAAGTCCCTCTTATAATTGTGTCCTGCCCCAGAACCATATATTAATTTATATTTAATACATTTTCATACATTAAATGTATGATTTCATCGATTACACAAGGTCCTCTTTACCAGTGGTAAAATTTACCTATTACCTAATACAAAATATCAAGGATGAATGGAGATAATACTAGGTCTCTGCTCACCAGTGTGCAGTCAAAGAACTCAAGAGTTATTTACGTAAAAACAGCGTTTTACCATTAAACACCCAAAAAGTAGGAAAGGAAAAATTCATTCTTCTTTTTTTTGAGACTGAGTCTCTGTTGCCCTGCCCTAAGTAGAATGCTCTAACGCTTGAACTCCTGAACTCAAGCAATCCATGTTCTTTGGCCTCTCAGAGTGCTAGGATTACAGGCATGAGCCACTGTTCTAAATTATCTTCTTTTTAGATAGGGTCTCAGTATGTCGCCCTTGGTAGAGTGCCATGACATCACAGCTCACAGAAACCTCAAACTCTTGGGCTTAAGAGATTCTCTTGCCTCAGCCTCCCAAGTAGCTGGGACTACAGGCACCCACCACAACACCTGGCTATTTTTTGTTGCAGCTGTCATTGTCGTTTAGCTGGCCCAGGCCAGGTTCAAACCCACCACCCTTGGTGTACGTGGAGAGCACTGTAACCACTGTGCTACAGGTGCTGAGCCTAAATTATCCTCTAAAGGAAGCCAAAGAAGGAGTAGATAGAAGAACCAGAACCAAAATACAGTGGGTGTCAAGAAAAGAAAGAAAATGCATACACATTTTAAGAAAGGAAGAAATTATATTAAATTTGTACTAATATATATTGATAACAAAAGATGAATACAAGTCGAGTAACTCTTGTAATTAAATGTGACTTGAGTATTACAAATTTAATATAGTCTTTTCATTTCTCAAAACGCGTATACATTTCTTTGCCATCCTAAAGAAAACAAACAACAAAAAAAAAAGATCACCTTTATTTTGCCACAAAAAGAGCATTAAAGATATCAGGGAATAAAACAAACTAGATTTTTCAATTATGCATGAAGATTACCATGAGATACATGCAAAATAATAAACACATGGTATGTAATTTGGGTTAGACTAATATTAAGTAATTTCTGGTTTGAGTCATCCTTATCCACCATTGCTCAAAGAAATTCTTTTTTCTTTTTTTTTTTTTTCCTGAGACAGAGCCTCAAGCTGTCCCCCTGAGTAGAGTGCTCTGGCATCACGGCTCATAGCAACCTCCAACTCCTGGGCTCAAGTGAGTCTCCTGCCTCAGCCTCCCAAGTAGCTGGGACTACAGGCACCCGCCACAATGCCTGGCTATTTTTTTTGGTTGCAGCCATCATTGTTGTTTGGCGGGCCTGGGCTGGATTCGAACCTGCCACCTTAGGTGTATGTGGCTGGTGCCTTAGCCACTTGAGCCACAGGCGCCAAGCCAACTCAAAGAAATTCTAAAATCACCCTAGAAAAGAATATGGAGAAAAAGGGTATAGTATAACTTTAATTAAGGTACATATATAACAAAGTTTTGCTATGGTTAAAGTGCTCAGGAAAAGGAGTTTTAATCTGTAAGAAAATAAGAGCCAGATCAAGAGCCTGGTTTTCCATACAAACACCAAGAAAATAGGAGGCGGGAGGAGGTAGACCTGGAAGTCTACACTTAAAATAATTCCTGAAATACCACTGGGAATAATAATGCATGTGTGCTGTGTGTGTATATGTGCGCATGTGTATACATATATATAAATTTAACCTGAAATTGGTATATAATTATCAACCCCATTTTACAGAGAAATGTACCTTTACCCAAATATAAACTCACTATTGGAGAACTCTATTAGCTGTTTTAAATTGAAATACATTTCTCATAATTTCCATCACTGGTCTTAAAAGAGTTCACATCTATTTTATCTTCTCCAAGTCAATGTTTCAAAGACCTAAAGATATTTACGTCATTTTCTGTCTTATCTCCTCTAGCCTAAAAAGCCTCAGTCTATGGTTCTACACACCCTACAGTCCTCTCCTGGTTCCCTCCCTTAAAATACCTGCTAGGCCAGGTAAGAACATATTAAAACTATGGTGCCTGGAAATAAAGACCCTCACTCAGGAGAAGAACAATGCAAAGTTTAGACAGGTGTGATCTGCACAGAGTATGCCAACTGAAGCTTGGTTCAAACTTCTGTATCTTCAAAACTGGATTTTTCAGAGTAAGAACTGAGGTATCATGAAGCTAGTTCCTAACCTTTTCTCCACCCTGCAACATCAGAGGATGAGGACTATGATTACTCGCATAAGAAACAAGACTCACGAAAGGAAATGGAAGGAGACAGTTGAAAAAACCTATAACATGTCTGACCTTTTAAATCTTTACTAAGGATTCAAGAATAACAATGCTTATTATACTAAAAGCAAAAAAACCAGTCAAATTCTAAAGCAATACAAAAAATAATAAAAATGAGAGGAATTATATGAATATTCTAAAAACAAAAAGGTATGGTTAACCAGAAATTCTGTTACTAGGCTTTTTATTTCATAAAGCTTTACTGTATTCCATGTTGCTTACTACTCTCCTTCCTCAATTGATCACAAAAAGTTTTTTTTATTGTTTCAGGTTAAATAAGAGCACAAAGAATTAGGTTACAATGTTTGCATTTGTTAGGTAAAGTCTCTCTTATAATTGTGTCCTGCCTCCTCAGAAAAGGATTTTTTAAAAAGAAATTTAACACTATGAAAGACCAGAAAACATTTCTCCATCAAAATTGAAAGCAGAAGCTCGGCACCTGTAGCTCAGCGGCTAGGGCACCAGCCACACGCAGGGGAGCTGGCAGGGTCGAGCCCAGCCCAGGACTGCCAAACAAGAATGACAGCTACAACCAAAAAATAGTCAGGTGTTGTGGCAGGCACCTATAGTCCCAGCTACTTGGGAGGCTGAGGCAAGAGAATTCCTTAAGTCCAAGAGTTTCAGGTTGCTGTGAGCTGTGACGCTATAGCACTCTACCAAGGGCAATATGGTGAGACCATATCAAAAAAAAAAAAAAATGAAAGTGGAAAAGGCAAATATCGTCTGTCACTTAGAAAACTATATTTTAAGGTTTATGATAAAATAAAAGTGTCCAAAAAATTAACATAGGAGAATGTATCAACACAAATTTGAGTGTCTAAAACGTAGATTTAAAAAAATCAGAGAGACTGTTTAAAGGCCAGTTGGTAGATATGAAAGAAAATTGTCCAGTAACAAAGCTAATAAAAACAAATTTAAAATTCATAATTCTTTTAAAAAGACTCCCTTTAGGGCAGTGCCAGTGGCTCAAATAAGTAGGGCGCCAGCCCCATATACTGGAGGTGGTGGGTTTAAATCTGACCCCAGCCAAAAATTGCAAAAAAAAAAAAAAAAGAAGACGACTCCCTTTAGAAGATAAACAAATAAAAGGGAGTATTTAACAACTCCCAAGTTTTCACCTGTGGAATGACATCTATTTCAATGACAGGGATATGAGGACTAACTGATACAAAATTATCAAAAAGCTATAATCTAATTAGACCACAAATAACACATATCTGAAATTGAAAGATAACAGATTCATAGCCAGTGGTACAACTGGCCCTTAGCAGAGGCGCCTGGCAGGGGAGGTCCTAGGGTGACCAGAGCCCCAGACCAAGCTTCAACCTTAGAAGCTTTCACCCTCAACAGCATCCTCCAGAGAGCACACCACCATTAATTTTTTCTAAATGCATTCCAATGTGAAAAAGGTTTTTGAGAATGAATTAATAGTGACTTTCCATTACTAGAATTAATGAATGACAAATTAACTTTGTCTTTAATTTTAATAGTTACTATTAATGAAGGTCTCTAGCTGTCTAAGCTCTTTTTGATCTTTCAATTATTTTCTGCATTACACCAACCCTTCTAAGACTTTCATAATGCTCAGAGATCTAGTCTGGAAAAAATGAAGATATATCTGAAAAGTTTAAGGCTACCTTAATGGCCACATTAATTTGATAAAGATATCCTGAGTACCGATCTCTAGAAGCTTGCTTGAAATGTGATTATTATTCTTTAACCCAGAGTAGCAGTATTTCTTTTGTGTGTGCCTATCCTTACTATTACCAATTCTTATTAATAAATTCATCAAGTTCACCACCAATTTCACCTTTTCACAAATTCAGCTAGAGGTTCAGTTAAACTGTACTCACCTGAATCTGAATAGGAAGGTTGTCTTTGACTGTATTTAACAGGGTCTCTGTGGGTTTCTCTTTGCACATTAAAACAAGCTCCAAGTCCATATCATCTTTAATCAGCAAGCCTTTTGCAACCAGGCCAATCCTCATTACACCACACAATGTCCGACCACCTTGATCCCTAAAAATAAAAGTCTGCATCATTACTTTTACAACGTATTTCCCAAAGTATAACTTAATCATCACTTGGCTTCCTGGATATCCATATTCATTGATATGGGAGTATATAAATCCAGACATCCAAAAATATACAGAATTAAAGTCTTAGATTTAAGGCTCATAAAATATCTGTGTTCCTCCAAAGATTCAACAGGACATTTCATACTATATAAATCTTTAAATTTTTTACTACATCTATATTACTTAAGAAAACCCAAATATTTATACTGTATCCCCTTAAACATTTTTTCAAACTGTCCTTTTGTCTTTTTTTTTTTTTAGTAGTAATTTAAAAATCTGTAAGAAACATGAATACCATCATGCACTAAAAAAGAACATCAAGGCAGAAATCTAAAAGAACTGGATTCTATTCATAATGGTGCCCGCTGGCTTAGTATCCACAATAGTAAAATAGGCATCAGCTAGATCAGGCATCCTCAAACTATGGCCTGCGGCCCGCCTAGGACATTTATCTGGCCTGCCGGTGTTTTTGCCACCACTGCCTGTCCTGCTTAGCAGCCAACTCATCCCAGGGTCTGTAGTCCGGACCTCCAACGGTCTGAGGGACAGTGAACTGGCCCCCTGTTTAACGAGTTTGAGGACCCCTGAGCTAGATGAACTAAGGTCCCTCCTAATTTTATCATTCTAGGAATCCACAGAAGTTTATGGGGAAAGCAGAATATGTGATAAAACTAAATAGCTGAGGAAAGATCAGACCAAAGATAAATGGCCAGTATATGCATCCCAAATCCAGGAATAGCTAGCTAAAAAAGCAAACACTCAAAGAACATCAAGTCATGAATGGTGCATAAGAAAAATGTTCATTTACCCTTGATTTTAATTCTAAAAGTTTCTCATATTGGTTCATCTCTCTTAATCACAAGTGAAAATATTAACTAAGCTTAGCAGTCATTCAAAAAGTATGCAAGTGTTTGAGTATGGAAAACATACCAAAGGAGACTGTCTCTCCTGCAGCTTATATTGTAGTTAAGCAACAAAAGCAATTAATAGTTCATGCACCCTGCATAAAAGGGGAAGAGAAAGTAACTTCTCATTTAAAAACCTCACGACAAGCCTCCACTTGGAAAACAAGGAATATCAACCTCAGAAAAAAGTTAACTGTTCAAGTTCACAGAGAAGTAAAATAGCAAAGCCTAGACTCAAACTTGAGTTGGTTTGACTATACCACTCAGGTTCTTTACACTGTATGGTTGCTTCCCAAATTCGGAAAAGGCAGTAGTCCAAACAGAGATGTCAAGCAAGGCAACCTGAAAGTTTGACTTGAAAGCAGAGTCTTGATTTAGCTAGATGGAAAAGGTCGTTCTAGCTAGAAGCAAGCAATTAGCAGAGTTGGGCAATGAATAAATAGCAAGGCTGAGAATAAAATAGAGCTTGAGAGAAACAAATTAAGGCAAGAGAAACTAAACAGGAAGTTATAAATAATCCACCCACAGGTTCAATGCCTGGCATACATTAGGGATTCAATAAGCATTAAATTAATCAAAAACTATAAAGGTGGTACATGTACAGAAATAAAAAGCATTTTAAAGCAACTAACTCAAGGATAGGCAATTGTTTGATATTAAGAATAAAATCAATCACCTGATTCTTCTTCTGTATCCCTGTCCTCTCAAATCTAATATACTGTCATGGTTTAGAAATTCTTCCTTCATAATCACCCTTAATCCATTGCCTTCAAACCAATTTCTTTAGGTTCTTACTGCCACTCAAATAGATGACCTCAGTAACCTCCTCCTCATTGGCCTTACTGACCAACCTCTGTTATCTCCAACACACTATATACAGTATACTACAACCTGAGTATGCTTCCAAAGGCACTGCCTAGATGGCACTCCACCTATTTTTTATTTTCCTTAGTGTACCACGGTATACTTGGACACCTACCATGTTGGGAGGCAGTTTAGAAGGCAGCATGACTTTCTGGTTCAAATCTTGTCTCTGCCACTTACCATGTGACACTGGACAAATTACAAATTACTTGACTTCTCTGAACATACTTCCTTATTTGTATTTAAAAAATAAGAATAATACCTCTCTCTCAGAGAGTGATACTAAGAATATAATTTAAGTAATGAACTTTGCCAAGGGCTTAATATATATTAATACTTCCACAAACAGTAGCTATTATTCCTTCAACAGATCCAACAGCTTCTCACATCAAGATCTTTGCTGAGATTTATTTTTTTCTTCCACTACTACTGCCTACCAAAACCATACCCACCCATCCTCTGAACCTATTCCAAATTCTATCTCCTTCATAAAGCTTTTTCTGATTCCCAGAACCAGCACATTATCTCTCTCTCCTCTGTACTTACACATGTTATTCACGGGAAAATGAAGCACAGATGCTAAGGAAATTGGATCTGGAGTTAGACAGACATGAATATGAATCCTGGCTCTGCTACACACAGTCAGTGACCTTAAGCAGTTAAAGTTCACTAATGATTCTGAGTCATTATTTTTTCATATGCAAATCTGCAGCAGAGGAAATTTCATAAGTAAAATTGGGATGGAGAAAGGGGGATAATAATAGATTAGTAGGTTTGTTGCAAGATTATGTGAAAAATAATCTCATACCATAGCTGGTACTCAATAAATGGCAGCTATTATTAGTAAGCCATTATTAATTCAATTATTAAGTTCTAAATTATGATTATGATATACTTCATCTTAAACACTTCACATGTAGAAGAAGCATGATTAAAAAAAAAACCAAGTCCTAATTCAAAACAGGCCTACATTTGAATA